TTATTCCTTCCATCCCTGTAATTTATGCCACAATCGATCCTTCAACCAGCCAAAAACTAACCTTTTCTTAGTACCAATTACTGTCATGAGACAAAGGTAACACCCAAACTCTCTTTCCTCTCGATCACCCAATCGCTAAAGGATATGTCTGTGTATAGCATCCTCGATATTTTGGTTAAAAAATAAAGTAGTTTTCTCTGTATTTAATTGTTGTCTAGAGGCTTCTTACAAAATTCTATCACGTTCCTGCAAATTTGCACAGGCAAAAAGCAAGCAATCATCGGCTAAAAGAAGATGGCCAGTGGCCATTAGTGCCAAAGGAGATACCATTCAGGTTACCCGCCTCTGATTCTTTTTGAAATAGAGCTAGACTCTTAGCACAAATAATAAATGAGTATGGAGAAAATGGATCACATTGTCTCAATCCCCTTCTAGGTTTAAAACACTCACATGGCTCGCCATTCATCATTATTGAAAATGTTGTGGTCATTATGCATTGCATAATCGCATCAACCTATCTTTCACATAAACCAAGCTTCAACATGATTGCTTGACCGATCCTAGGGCTTAGACATATCAAACCTCACAGTCATATGTTGTGCGGCTCCCCTCTAGCTTATTCTAATGCAATGTATTGCTTTGAATACCACAAGAACATTGTCTGTTATTAAACAGTCTGGAACAGAGGCACTCTGGTTTTGGGATATTATCTCTGGAGAACAACCTTCAATCTATTTGCAAGCACTTTGATGCCAGCTTGTATAATACATTACACAAAGAGATATGCCGAAACTCTGTAATCTTTTTTGGTTGTTTTACCTTTGGTATCAAAACAATGTGTGTGTAATTTATTTTTTGAAGCAACCTCCCTTCATTCAGGAAAGATAATACACCATTTGTTACATCCTTACCAATAATATTCCAATACTTTTGATAAAACAACGTTGATATCTTGCCAGGTCCTGGGGCCTTTAAGGGGTGCATTTGTTTCAGAGTTTGATGAACCTCCTCCTTTACAAACTCACTCACGAGAATCATATTCATATCATCATCAACTCTTTTTCAACCACATTTAGCACTGAATCAAGGTTTCTTGGGGAGCTGGCGGCAAACTCTTGTCAACATCTCTTCGTCGAACTCCCTCACTCTCATCGCTGCCGATTCCAACGCCGCCTAAACTCACCTCCTCGAGACCCCAAATCCACTCCCTCATTTCCACCAAATCCCCACCATCAGTTTCTCTTCAACATTAAACCCCTCTCATGCCCCTAAACCCTAATCCTAATTCTCCTCCATTGCCATGACCGCCATCGTTCTTCCCTCATCCTCCTCTAGCACCAACTACCACCAAAGAAATCATTGTTATCTTGCATCTGCCTCTCGCCTCATCCTTGAAGTACCACCTCCTGCTATCGTCATTCCTCCTCTGATCTCTCCATCACTCTCTACCATCCATTCTATCCACCATCCTACACCCTCTCCATTGCTATCCACCCTCTCTACCGCTCTCTACCTCTTTGTTAGCTCATTGTTTATTTGCCAAGCTATTCTTGGATTTGGATGCTTGGGTTTCAAACTCTTTGATGAAAATCTACATTGAGATTAGACATTAATTGTGGTGATGCTAAAAGGGTTGTGTTGTTGGAGTTAAGGAGACGAATATGATTTATTGGAACACTATATTTGAAAAATTGTTGAAGTATTGGATATTAGAAGATACCAATAAGTTGTTTGATGAAATGTAGAAGAGAAATAATTTCTTGGACTAGTATGATTATATTGAAGGCTAGTCATTTGTTGAAGTTGTTGATCATTTCAAGGCGATATTGACCGATGGCATCATGCATAAGTTGAGAATATGATGTTTTTTTACAAGGGTATCCTTTTTGGTTTTTATTCTTGCAAAAGGAAGATTAGATGTCAATGTTAACGCTTGGATGGTATAACAAACGGATTACTTTTTTTAGAGCAAGTGCAGCAAGCTCCCTGTTGGGAGTCCTAGTCAGCAAGCTCCCAAGAGCTCTCAAGACATGACCCACCATTTTCAATGCCACATCACCCTCCTAACTAATGTTGATCTCCATTGGGAGCTCCCAAGAGCTCCGGTGGGCCCCACTGGCCACATCAGCCCAGGGAGCCCCTTGGGAGCTTGTTGGGAGTTTGTTGGAGGGGGGTTCACGAGCTCCCACCGCCACGTAGGCCTTAAGAGCGACGGTGGGAGCTTGGTGCACTTGCCCTTATGGATATCAATGATGATTATTCCATATCCTAAGAGATTAAGTATTTCACAAAGAAAATTAGCCTCATGAAGATTATGATGTACATATGAAGGTTATAGCGTACCTATTAATATTATCACGTATCTAATAAGGTTAACTTGTACTAGTTAAGATTATGGTGTACCTGTTAAGATTATGGTGTACCTATTTAGGTTATACATGTTAATGTTATGATGTATCTGTTAAGGTAATGATTCCTGGCAATGTTATACTAAAATTGTTAAAAATTATAATTTTAGAATGCATTTAACTATTATTAACTAAAATATTTTAAGATATACTCACGTTAGCTCTAATGTCGCTAGGTCTTTCAACAACTAAATACTTATACTTAAACATGCAAGCTCATAAATGGACTAATTCCTAATATTTCTCCATAAAACCACTGATCCAAATTCTCATTATTAACATACTCAAACAAGCATCCTAATTGTAAACACAAAACTTAAATTAAAAGATCATAACTTTTTCCTAAATTAAAAACTTAAAATTGTTAAAACTTTAGACTTTTATCTGAATACTTATGTGACTTATGTGATTGTTGGTACATTAATAGCCATAGAGAGATGTTATTTCTTAGATTGTGATAGCAACAGTTCATGTACAAAGAAAATATTATGGAGATCTCGTTGTGTAGTTGTGTGTACATAAACATCAAAAATTAGATAAACATATAATTGTATGGGTTGATTGTGAACTATGAAGGACTAGCCGTGAATCTTACCTAGGGAAATTTTGCAAACCGCCTCATGAAAGTTTCTGAAACTGTAAATAACCTTTGACAGTTATATTCTAAACTTAACAACCAATGGGTAAACTTAACAACCAATAGATAAACTTAACAAGCAATATTCAAAATTAAAAAATTTACTATATAAAATTAAAAAATATACAGCACAAGACAATCATTCATATACTTATTTCTCATTCGGTTCTTAAGGTCATTCTTGAATTTTTTTTTAATGTTAAAAAATGCTCTTTCAACACTTGTCTTTGCAGCAAGATTAGTATCAATTTTACCAATTTGTACACCAAAAGCAATTTGTCCATCTTTCTTTCAACCAACTTCTTATCAAGTTAACATATCCTTTAAATTAAAAAAAAACCATGATGAGAAACACAAACTAAATAAATTATGCCGGTACCATGTATACATCTCAAGTAAATAGCACCACATTCAAAAAATTTATCTAAAATAAAATCAATATCCTAAGTACCATATTACAATAATCGAGCTTAGATGACTTTTAATGCTGGCTTACGTTAGTTGTGCAACAATACATACTTCAATACGCATACCTTGAATTGTGTTAATATTTAGAGCTTTGCTACGGGGACCCAAAATATGGGACCAATAGAGGGGACAAGTGAGGTGTTCCCCTCCTATTGGATAATAAGTTGACTATCATTAATGATAGCCAACTCATTATCCAATAGGAGGGGGACACCTCACTTGTCCCATCTATTGGTCCCATATTTTGGGTCATTGAGGAATTTTTCTAATATTTAATCAAAACGACTTCTACAGTTAAGTACATTGATTAAAAATTGAGAGCGTAATAGATAGACTTCGGTCTCAAATTTATTTCCCCTTGCACTTGCATGGGGTAATGAGGATGAAAAACTCAAGGTGGGGCCAAGGCTCTTGGCCCCAAGGCAGGTCCGCTTCGTCATGCTGTGGTTAAAAGCAGATGAGAAGTCCCTAAAATGCTATAACAGCAGGAATAGAAATAATCATGGAATAAAAAAAAAAGAAAAAGAAATAATCAACATGGCAATTAAGCATAACAGGTATATATGTTGATATCATGAGATGTCGCAGTTATATCAAAATAGCATTAACTATTTATTCACATGTATAAGAGTAATAAAAAAACATAGTCGGATTAACAAATTAGAAAGTAATCCACCGCAAATTGTTTCAAGAGAGGAAAAATTTCCAATAAAGGGGACAGGTGAGGTGTCACCCTCCTATTGGATAATGAGTTGGCCATCATTAATGATGACCAACTCATTATCCAATAGGAGGGGGACACCTCACTTGTCCCCTCTATCGGTCCCATATTTTGGGTCCCTATAGCAAAACTCTTTATTGTGATCCCCAGAAGGTGGTTAGACCGGGACCATTCCCCCCCACAACGGAACAGCAATTACAGCCACGAAAATATTGCTGGCCCAGGTTACGGACGAGAGGGATATCACAAATGTTCAGACGTCCACAGGGGGTGGTCTGCTGATCACTGATTCTAACCAAGCTAGAGTTGGAGAATCTAACAAAGAGGGGAATTTGGAGGAAGTTAAAAAGTTTTTCGAGGGTACTTTCAAAATCCAAAAATATCTGATAAATCATACATGCGAAATTATAAAATACAAACACCGACAGGTGCGTGTAGGCGATCCATCATTCAATTCTTACGGGTACAAACTTATTTGTCGGTAAACGGCCCCCATCTCCTAGACGGAAGGGACGAGTGAAAAGGGCTCAGATTTTTTGCTCCTCTGCTCAATGATTTTAGATGGTTTTCGTAAATACTCAAATTTAATTTGGGATGACTTCCTTAAAATTCCACCTGTGTGACTGCAGAACTGTTGCTGGTCCCTTGAATGAGATCCACGATATAAATAGTTACCTTTATTTTATTATTCCCCCCCTTATCTTTTTCCATTCAAGATTGAGAACTCCACCAATCCGAACACAAGGGGGAAAAACATCACACGGTGAAAACTCAATGCAGTTGGATACTGATAACCAAGCAACATAAATTGTCTTTCAACATTTACATTTGGAGGTATAAAAAAAAGAAAAAAAAAATTCCCTTATGTAGAAATCTTTTCCCCCTTATGTGAGCATCAATGGCCGACAAAAAGGTAGTATTAAATGTATTATATCCTTGATACTACTTTCATACTGCAGGTAAAATGACAAGATGAAAGAGGATCTCGCATCTCTGTCATTGCATTTGAGTATAACAATAGTACCAAAAATATAGTACATTAGCATTTCAAAAAAAGGTCTTGGGTTAAGACAGACAAAATATGTATCCGATCAATGCGCAACACGATCAGCTGCAGGTGTCATCGAACTCTCCTCCGATACAACCACCACCGTATGAAATCCATTCTCCTCGTGATGCTCAGAGCGAACCACCGGTCTGAGCAGCCCTTGAAGGCGGAGGAGGTAGCTCTGGCCAGCCGCCGGATGCTGTGACCGCACATACCGATTGGCGGCGGCTGCAGTTATGGTGGTGGTGGTCATCGTTGCTTGGTTGGTGGTGGCGCCGTTAGAGTCTGTGTCGGATGTGCGGATATTGGAGAGGGCGCTGAGGTCGAGGTTGGGGAAGACTGAGCAGCGGCAGCGTGGACATTTTACATTGAGACGAAGCCACTGGTCGATGCAGTCCACGTGGAAGTTATGTGCACAGGGAAGCCCCCGTACCTGCATGCATTGCCGTGAGTTCGGTTTCCAATCAAAGATCAGAAATCAACGACTTATTGTGCAACTGGCATTAGATGCACAGCAGGGTAGTGTCTGTTCATTGGAAATATGGGTAATAGCAGATGTACTTCATGTACTATGAGATCGTTGCTTCTTCTATCTTCTACACTAAATTATTAGCACCTACACTACCAGAACTCAACATATGCTATTTCCCAGGTTAGATTGAGACGTCACATGATTTCCATGAGGTGATAAATTACCTCTTATCGACTGTTTACTTGGGAAAAAAATATCAAAATTGTGCTCTAATAGTACATATTAGATTGCTGTCAAAAAATATTAAGTCATATCATTTCAGATTTTATACTAATATTGTCAATCTTCTAGATTGCTGTCAAAAAAGAGAATATTAGTATAAAATCCGAAATAAAAAGTTAGAAATTCAAGCCTGATCGGAAGCGGTCGGGATTTCACTGTCCTACAAGATTGAGGACTCGTCTATCGCCCTGGCGCAGTCGATCCTCTCTCCCCTAGCGGTAAAACCCCACAGCTCGGCCGACCTCCGTACTCGGGCGAAAGTAACAGAGCTTAAGCTCAGATGAAGAATGTTGCCCAAAGAGAAAACTAAAACTTTTACGACGAAAATATTAACAGAGGAAGAGAAGATAGAAGAGTTTCTGTGTCTTCCAAACTGGAGAAAAACTCTATTTATAGGAGTGGAAAACCTTTAGATCTGTTGCACATCCTGCATATTGTCCACAAACTCGCGTAACTCCCCGCGCGATCTCCGTAGTCGTTACGAGACCGAGTCAAAAAATGTGTAAAACGTGCAAAATAAAATCTGGAGAAGTAAAAGGAATGCGTGCGTGTGCGTCGCGGCGTGGTGAGGCGTGGCGTGCGTGCGCGCGTATGTATTATGCAAAGCCCACCCAATACAAAACCTAAAACACTACTCAAAGCCCAATAAGAGGTGTTCCAATATAAACCCTTACTATTCATCTCAATTTCCAATGGGAGACTATTCACAAAGACAAGATTGCCTTTTCATGAACAACATAGCCAACAATCAAGGTTATCGATAGCGAATAGCGTCGCGTAGCGGTGAGGCATCGCTAAGACTATTCCGGGCTATTGCGGCAAAATAACGGTAAAAAACGTAAAGTCAAATAGCGGTCTAATTTAGATATGTATAAATACTAAAAAAAAATTAAAGAAATATCTAAGAAATCTAAAAGTACATATTGGATGATTTAAAGAGATCCTAAACATAAAATAGACATGTAATCATCACGTAATACCGAAGATGACTGGAGGAGTCAAAAAGTTATCGTCTTCGAGAAGAAGAGCTTAGCGGTGACAGGACTGCCCCTAAGAGGAGCTCACGGTGAAGGAGGTGAAAGGAAGTATCAATGTAGGTGCCAGAGTCTATGAGAGGTGGCGGGAGTATGTTAAAAATCACAGGAGACGGTGAAATATAATGATCAAAAGTTGAGTTTAATTTTAAAACAATAAGCCTCAAACCGCTTTTAAATAGCAGTCAAAAAGCAAATTTCGAATGCAATCGCTCACTATTTACCGTTATGACACACTATTGGCCGCTTTTGCGAACAGACATTCCGCAATATGTCACTGCTATTGCGCGATAGTGTAGCCGGCGATAGCGTCGCGGGAAGGGACCGCTAACGCTATTAGCGCCGCTATTGCAGGGCTATTTATCGCTATTTATAACAGTGCCAACAATCCCCCTAAAAGGCAATATTGACTGAAAACTCAAAATCAATAAATAAATCAATAAATCATAAAACAAATATAGGTTGGCAACATTTCGTATCGTGAATTCGATGGAGGTAGCTTTTGGTTTTGAACATTTTCATAGTGAGTTCATCGCCACGTGAGGGACATAATGGACTAGACCTTGAATTAGGCCCATTGAACCAGATATTGATAAAAACACACACAATATGTCTTCATCTATTGAGCAAGGCAAGTTGAGCGTTAAAGGTCATGCTCACAATAAACCGAACCGACTCATGAGAGTTTCTAGGGGTTAGCCCAACCCCCCCAACCGCGGCCATCACGATTCCTCTCACATAGGTAAGTCCTCCAAGGGTACTACAGCTGGATATTATACCATCTACAATACACGCGTTGGACTTATTAAGAATAAAACTCAGCCAACCAACTGCATCATAAGAGCATCGTCACCATAGAGAAGGGGAAGTAGCAAATGCTACCATAATGATATATAAATATATCTAGGTCGATGCTCCACACGAGTCACTAGTCCAGCTTGTTTCTACCACATTGAACCTACATTGGGACTAAGTCTCCAAATAAAGATTGGGTTACCACTGTCAGTGACCTTACTATGAGCTTAACCCCATCTCCCTCGATGAAACCAGAACCACACTCCTGGATAATCTCTTAGTCAAAAGGTCAGCAAGATTCTTCTCAGACTTTACAAAGTCTAAGATCACAACTTTGCCTAGCAGGCGTTGTACAGATTTATATCTTATTTGAATATGTTTGTTAAGTTTTTTATTTACATGCACTTGCTTTAGAAGCTTTATGGTAGATCTAGAATCAGAATGAATGGAAATAGTAGAAGAAGGTTTAGGGACCAAATGAAGTTTAGAGAATAGATCTTTCAACCATTCTGTTTTTATACAAGTGGTATCAAGAGCAATGAATTCAGATTTCATGGTGTTCCTGGCAATTACTGTTTGCTTATAGGATTTCCAAGATACAACTGCACCACCAAAAAAAAAAATATCCAGATGTAGACTTTACACTGTTAGAATTCGTGACCCACTTGGCGTCCCTATACCCTTTTATAGCATCAGGATACCCAATGTAAGTCAAGCAATAGTCAACTATGCCTTTTAAGTATTTGAATACTCTCTCTAAGGCAGACCAGTGGTCTTTGCTACGGTTGCTGGTTTACCGGCTCAGACTCCCTACAGTATAAGCTATATCGGGTCTTTGCTAGGGTTGATGGTTTATGTATAGGAGAGATTCAATCAGCTGAGAATACTTCAGTTGGGAGACAGGTTCACCTTCATTCTTCTTCAAGGATATAGAAGAATCATAAGGTGTGGAGACATGTTTAGAGTTATGAAAGTTGAATTTGATCAACATTTTCTCAATACTGTGAGAAAGACTCAAAGATATTCCTCTGTCTCAAAGATATTCCTGTCTCTATGTTGATGATATCCTTATCTTTGGAACAACTCTTGAATTAATTTTAAAGATTAAGGATTGAGAGCAAAGAAGAAACCCCCTCTGAGATTCAAGGGGCTTAAATGCTAAAAAAGCAGTTTAGTGGGATATAGTGGCTACACCACTATTATCCAGGAGATGTGTCCACAATTAAGGAATGGATGACGATGGAAATGGTATAATATCATGTGGGCCCACATGATCTTTTTGGTTAAAATAGGAGAAAATGATTGTTGTACTACTAATGCTGTATTATGTTGATACTCGTAGACAGTCATGAGATCCATCCCACTAATTGCTCATGGATCCCACACGTAACTTATCCAGTAGTACAAAACAGTAGAAGATTACTAATAGGATTAAAATTCCGGTTATTTGTTATCTCGGATACTATCATCACCCAATACAAACTTGAACTGAGGTAGTTAAGAAAGATGGACAGGACTCCAAACCGTCATATGAACTATATTGTACGTGAATGGGCCAAAGTGAAATCCTAAGACTTGATTGAGACCTAAAATTCACACAAATCAATCCCATGCTAAGGAAGGATGCTGAAATCACTACAGACTCTGGAAAAGAAAGGACGCTACAGGAACTGCTCTGAGGGTTGATTTCATCTCCAACACCCAAACAAAAATAAGATGATTAATATGCAACTAAAAGACATTTTGGGAGGAAGGGGCAAGAAAGTTCTAATGTATAGTTAACAGGATTAACAGTGTGGAAAAGAGAATCATTCTTACCTCATTCCCAACACAGAACTCTTCGAGGCAGATAGGGCATTCGCTACAATCAGTTGGGACAGCCTTAAGCCTAAACTTTGGAAGTTCTTGAATAAGAGCCTCAACTGCATCCCTCTGCAAGAAAATACATCGGGTATTAGATAATAGAGGAACAATCAAACTACCACTTAATACAATCAAAATACATTGTGGATATGGGAGAGCTCCATAAATTTGGGAAGTTCCATATCAATGGATTATAGGATGGGAGAAGAGAAGCAACATAAATGAGAACATCAAAAGAAGATATACACATTGGTACTTTCATCTGACTTTCCTCTAATGTTACCTGGGTCGGTGTCAGGTAAAGTCCCGGATGGTAGGCAGTATCTTGGCCCATTCCCCTCATTTCCTGACCAGCAGCTTCAAACGCCCAATCAGGCACACGAATCATGTCAACCAAAACCTGAAACAATCACAAACATAGGACCTTAAAGGTTCTACTGCAACCCATCTTCAAAGGCCTTTATGCCTCCCATACTTCTGTAAAACAAGACTATAAAGTAAAATCTTCTGGATTGTAATCTGGATGGACCCTACCTACAATTGGGAAAAATGTGCATTCCAATGAATCTCTCTATTGAAAAGATTCAAACAAGCTCTCAGCCATCATAATGGGTAAAAGTAAGGGTAAAGGGTACACCTTGTTTGGGCCCAACCACCCAACTGGTTCCATCTAGCATAATCTTTACTTTAGGCTTGGGTAGGCAGGCCAGATTCAAATTTTAAAACCACATGATATGTAGATCAGGCAGCGCCCTATATTTTGACTTCCTACTCAGTCCAAAGAAAATTTATATTAAATTGATATCTCAACGCATGTGTATACTCAATACTGTGATGTGTTTTTTGGGCGGTTGGGGTGGGGTTGGTTTAAGCCCAGCCAGGCCCACACACATCCCCACTTTAAAACACTGATTTCAATTTTTCGAATCATGATAAATAGAATAGCATTATGTGAAGTGGGCCCATGGAGTGGGATTGGGAGGTTAGGAGTTCACATCTGATGTAAATAATTGGAATTAAAAACCTCTGTGGATTCCTTCTAAAATATTGTAATGCTTTCATAGATTTCTTGCATGAAAACAGAATAAAAGAATCACTTTCTTCTGAGTCATGCATAATTCCAAATTATCAAATCAACTGGTTTAAATCTCAATTTGACTCATTAAAAAAACAGATCCTTATTGTGATTACTGTATAGAGCCCTACCCCATATTCTGAAACCGGAATTCCTTGTTGAGCACGCTGTAAATGAGCTCTCCTTCGCACTAGCCACTGCAAAAGACAGTCAAACATCAAATTTGAAAGATAATCATGTCAGCCATAAATGTAAATGTGATTCTCTCATGCTAGTGTAGTTACTTAACATGCTGTGCTAGGAGTTGAAGAGAAGTAGGATTAAAAAATCAACTCTATAACAATAGAGAAATAAAATTTTAGATGTGCGATTCTTAGGAAAATGATGGTGAAAAATCATGATCAGACATGTATATTTGGTCAAACCATCCACCACTAGGCTAGTCACACAGTGTGTAAACAGTAACCAACTGTTCTCAAACTTAGAAATTAAGCAGCTCAAACTTCTTTATTGCGGCCGACAGCCTTCATAAATTGGAGGAAAAAGGATCAGAGATTCATAGGTATTCCACAACACCTTGCAACATGGTGGTGCTGCCCGCAAGGCAGAATCAATACAGTACTGCAGCAAATGAAGGATGTGGTGGTGAAACCCTTATCATATCTTTCAAGCTATTGCAAAAGTAACATTCTCAATACTAAAATTTCATGGTTGTAAATGTGCCTACGCAGACCAACAGGGGTGAACCATTTGGTTACATGCAGAAACATGCAAGTTAAAACCAGGGGATCAAGCATAATGCTTTAAGTTGCACTTATGCTAAAATTTCCCTGTATTGAAAGGAAGATGCAGTCCTAGAATTCAGAAGCAAAATAGTTAACTAAAAGGGAAATGGTTTTCAAAAATAACAACAGTTTATTATCAATTCAATTACAAATTTCAAAGTAAACATGAAAACTCCAAGAGTTTAAGCAGTGGTTTATGTTAAATAATGTCAATGTACAGCATGTCATTACTTGCAAAATGTGTATCATACAGAACTTCATTATTATCTCTTCCTCAAACAGACTTATGCTAAATGCAATCCAACGTAGAGTATATTGATAATGCAATTTTAGCTAATATTAATATAAATTGCAATTCACTTATATATCATACGAGCTAAGTAGAGAATGTATACATGTATCAGGCACTCACTAGCAAATTCAGACGTAATACTTTTTAAAAAACCTATGTAGGTAGGTAGTTCAGCTAATAAGCCACGGAAACCATTTGACAGAGTAGGT